CGCTCGGTGCCGAGCTTAGCAGTGTTGCTATTGTTATTACAGTAGTGCTTTTCTGCATAGTACTGCTGCTGCGATTACTACGACGACTACGACTACTACTACTACTACTACTCCTCCTCCTCCTACTCCTCCTCCTACTCCTCCGCCTACTCCTACTCGTGCTCCTACTCCTACTCCTCCTAGTCCTCCTCCTGCTCCTCCTACTGCTTCTGCTGCTTCCACCACACTACTGCCACCACCACCACGGACTGCTACGTCTTCTTTCAGTTGTTTTTTCCAACGGGATGAACTGCCTACTTAAGGTTCGCAAGCACCCTCGTCAGAAAAACAGTTCGCTAGCGAAACGCCATAAGGACGTCGAGCGACGAGCGGTCGGTGATTGCAGTGCGGCGGGATCCGCACCCCAGAAGACGTCTGGACCTTCTGTATTCTTCCCGCACGTGGCACCCGTCAGAGACTATAGAGTTTAGTTGAGTCGGGGGCTGCGGCCAGCCATATGACGTCGTCCGGCTGCTAAATCGGAGCCAAGAAGCACTACGTACTAATCGCAGGAGGAAGCCTGTACTCCTCAGTACATACAAACATACCGCCGCTCACAAATCACGAAGGCCGCCACTCCCTGCCCGACCCTGTCTGGCAGGCGCCGTGGCTGCAACAAAAATTACACCACCACCACCACCACCGCCACTTAGAGACACCTCGCCACAGCGGTAGCTGGCAGAACCTTCCGGGTGCACCTCGAAAAGTTGCCCCCCAAGAGTCATACTAGTGGGATTGAGAGACACCACACCACACGGCACCACACTGTTTGGGAAAACACGGTCCTGGAAAGGCGTCCGGCGCCTTACCTTGGCCGTCAGAAGCCTGGGCAACTTGCAATCAGAAACGACAATCTTGAAACCTCTAAGCTTCAGACACAAAGCTACATGTTAGATTTAAAGGAGCTATGGCATGGGACAGCTAAAAAAAGCTAGCTGAGAGGTCACTGTGGAAAGCGATCAAAGCCAGAAAAAAGCTAAACAAGAGCTACTCCCAAAAAGCCACCAACAAGCCAACAGAAGCGACCCCAATACCGTGGCCCGGGTCATGGAAAGAGTGAGGTGCTGTGTGCGTCCACAGGCTCGCAGAGTCGTCAGCCTCCCCATGTTGAGCGCTCAGGGATTCCAGACCCACCCTACGAAGCCAACCTCCCCCCCCCGCTCAGCCTGATTTCACTTCGAACCACAACCTGCTGCCAGCTTGGCCTGAAGCTTTCCTGCAGCTTTCCTCGCCTCACAAGTTAACTACATTTTAGCTGTTTATCGGCTCCACTGTCGGGGGAGTCTGCATGCCGGAAATGCAGCTTTTCAAAGATAAACAAAGCTACAAAAACAACTAACAAAAAGGCAAGCACAATAATCTGGTCCAGCAAGGCAGCTCCTGGCAAAAGGTATCGCAAAATACAGGGTTGTGAGAAACTGACCCAGGAACCCAGTAGCAACCCGCACGGACCTGCCTAAAACCATCCCAGATAAATCGCGTTTTCTCACACATGTTGACATGGTGCCATCCGACTTCTCTGTCTGGGTATTTCGCCAACCATCTTGTACTCAGATCTTTTATGCGGAACTCCAGACGATAGCTTTGTCTGTAGCATTCTTGTGGCTTGTCTGTAGCTATTCTGTAGCTAGTTTTTAGCGTGCCGGGAGTCTCCAGGCACACGGCTTGCCTAACTCTAAGCACATGCTCCGGGAAGCCATACTTGCTGCGTTGGAACTGGATCTGTTCAGACCAAAGCCTGCTACGACATGCTTTCTGGGCGCTTACAGAAGTTCGGCCAGCCACCGAGCCAGGCGTCTCCGAGCTTCGAAGTCATCCACGAAGCAGAGACCCAAAAATGCCTCACAAAGGCTGGATCCAAAACCGCTTCGGATGCTTCGGAGCCGTGACACAAGAGTACTGAACCAGCCTCGGGCTATCACATGTCGAGTCTGCTTTTCGTGGGCCTGCCGGGAATCGTCCTCGCGAGACATTCGAAGCCACTCCTGCCATCTTCGGGTGGAACTCCGGTGCATTGGTCATGTTGGGGTCCGGCTACTCTTGTTGAAGATCGCCACTCAAGGTCTGAAGATGCTCTCGATGGCACACTCGGGCTTCCGCACTGCTGTCGAGTACACGTCTGAGCGCTCTGAAACGACCGGAGAGCCTGCTGCACCACCTAGGAATCTAGAAGACGGTTCCGCTGGCACAGAATATGCCTGAAAGCCCAAACCTCTCCCTTACCTACAGCAGCTGGGGTACCCACAAGAGTAGCAGCATTTCTGTCAAGCTCCGCCAGCCGAGCGGCATAGCTCTGCACCTCCTCCCCCTCCTCCTCGCGCATCCGCTGTGCCGGGGCTGCCGCAGTCGTTGGCGTCGGGAGCTGGCGTTGATTCGTTAGTTAGTCCTCGTGCACACGCAGACAGACAGACAGACAG